ATCTTCCAGGTAAGATCGTTTGGAATTATCGAATCGATGCAGTATTCAAAGGCTGTAAATTATGAGGAAGAAAACTATCAAAAAGAACTTCCCAATACAAATACACACTATTGTGCATCTTCAGAGAAACTCCATGACTAGAAACATCGCAAATGCAATAATGCACTTTCTTCGTAAAATGAAGTGTCATTATGTACATGATGTCATTTTCCAATAAAAGCCTGCAAATAATTCGATTCTTGTTTTTAAAAACACTGCTGAAATTCACTTATACTTGTCAAATGAAAAATAGCGTAATACGATTTACTCATAAAAAACGAGAAACTGCGATCAGTTGTGACTTGTCAATACGACTAACACATACCCATATTATCTGAATAACTAGTGACAGGTAGCAGCGAAGCACTCAGAAAGGAAGGAAAGCTTCGTCCCCATCAAGTCGAGGAACAATGAGAGAAAACCTATGGGATTGAGCAAAGTGCAGCCAGGCAAAGACAAACCCCTGATAGTCTGAATGTAGCAAATGGCATCATCAAATACAGACATTGGCAACACAAGTGTATGATGCATTAACTATCTAATCCTGCAAAAATGCCAACCTTGACAAAGGATGAGAACACTGCGTGGATTAGATGAATGTCGCTGCACGGGACCCTAAAGCTAGCAGCGGTATGAAAGCTTACTTTTTGGCTCAGGACCATCGACTACTGCAAACGACCGACCATATTCATGAAACCTTACCACCAACCTACCTTGAACCATGAGACAGGCCGTAACGTCAGCATTGGTCAGTCATCGGACTACTACATCTTTGGCGGTATGCATGAGTAAACCGCGTTTCAGGCTATTTTCAGTATGCACACCATCGCACGAACAAAATAAGGTCACAAGACATAACACTGACATTCATCTAAAACTAAACTTAACAGAAGGAAAAACATCAGTGCAAGTTATTAAATTAGGAACATATTTTCGCAACGGTTAACCTTTCTGTATCTAACATAGAGAAACACATCTTCGACAAACCCCTTCCATTCTTAAGATTACGACTTCTAACCATTGTAGCACATAATTAAAACTGAACTTCCCCAACCCAAAAGTTGTCTGATTGTCATAAACCAGTCGATTTAAAATTTACTGCAATAAAATCTAACTGTTCCACAAAACTTCAAAATCAGATACCAAACATACTGCATACTTGACAGCATGACCAAGCTGTAGGCGAAGCAGAGCAAGAGCCAAGCATAACAGTTTATTTCAGCATTATGACGAATGTAACATACACAAGATTCAGTGAAATTCACTTTCACAGATCTTCGTCGTCATCAGGTAGCTCAGCTTGGGAAGCGACCTAAAAAGCAATCGTAAAAAATAACAATTAATCAGCTGTTTCACTAAATTTACGTTTAGAAAAAATAGCCTCATCAAACAGTTTATGAACTCAATGCAACATCTAATTAGTAACCTTAATAGTACATATTTTTTCTATTGCACTGAAAATGACTGTTTCTCTTGAAATTTTCATATTATGCTGATTACCGTTAGACGCTGGTTTCAAACAGAAACACTGACAACTTACAGTAAACTTTATATATGACTCACTTCAAAAATGAAATGTCTGTCTAGCCCAGGGATACGATAGATATACAGCCTTAACTTGCAGATTTGCAATTAGTCAGTGATACTGGACGATATTTCATTTTTTTCTCACACTGCAACAACAAAAACAATAAAATTGAAACGAAATCATCATATCTTTCAATTACGTTGCAGGTGGTAGCTTCGTTCATTGTAGGACAATTACATATTATAAATGCTAAAACGATAACTTCGCTTACATGATGGACGATATTTTCACTTTCATCTTTTATCGCAACAAGAATCGTTTTTGCTAAACTTTTTGCACCTCGCTTCATGATTACATCCGAAAATGCCTATTCATAACATTATAAAGCAACTGCTCCTCCGATTTCTGTCAATTTTCGTATATTTTCGTATTCTTCACGTTGACAGATAGTTCAAAAGTTAGTACACTTCAACTTTACCGCCCAAGGAAACAACTGCATGCAATCTCTTTGATGATATGCGATGTCAAAATCACCGGTGTCGTGATCCGAATTAAACATGTATTCATCAAACAACACTGTCTGTCTACAGCTGCACCAAATACGTAATTTCTGGGCAAGTACTATTTTTGAATTTTAGCACCCTCCATCAGTGGTAACCATAAAACACAAAAAAATTAATTACCGTAATTTCTTGCTCGAGTTTTGCAGTCAGCTGTGGATCCATCTGTATTTCGGGTGGTGCAAGTGCAGGCATAGCGACGAATTCTAGATTAGGATCTCCGACCAATTTTCTAGCCAGCCACAAAAACGGCTTCTCGAAGTTGTAGTTGCTTTTCGCTGATATATCGTAATACTACGCAAAGGAAAACAGAAAATATTACGAACCATTAGAAAATGTATTTATTTTATCAATAATGTTAAAATCTGTTCCGTTTAAAGGTCGCATATTATCAACAAATCCTTAACTTGAAAATTTTACAGATTCTGTCACTACCAAAGATGATACTGTATTTTGATTTGAAATCCACAAAAATACGTGCGATACGAAATTCAACGAGGCATGGGTCAATCACGCACAACAAACAACCCCGTATACTGATATGCATGACCCTGGGTATAACGAACAATGACCTGATACAAGCAAGCTAAACGGTACGCAAAAACAGTTTAATAATAGTGGCCGAATATGCAGATCTAATACAATTAAATACTTGAAAATTTGTTAAGATAGGTAATTTCAAAAATTAAGCAAATAACAGTTCTTTGTTTAGACCTTTCGGCG